GAGGAGGCGCCTCGGGTGAGAGCAGATTGATTGCGTGACTGGGAGTATTTGTATTTAATTAAAAAAAAAAAAAAAGTGGAAAGATTTGTCAGCGTGAAGGTGCTTTAGTAACTTTTTCGAGTATACACCAAGTGTTTGTTCTGCTACTGTCATGTTGTGAGCATGCTGTGAGGCTGAGGTTGAATTCATGTACAGCTGAGGGTTTATGCCGTTGTGCCTTTATCCAGAATAACGTGTATTTACCTGTTACAATACCAGCATTTGTTTTTTAGCAGCTTGTGCAGAGAAAAATAGTCGTGTGAGGGAGGTGTTGTCTCCTCGTTATGCCAGTGTCTTCAGAGTGACTGAAATTCACTTGCTAGAGATAGATCAGCAGTGGCTCTGCGAAGATCCACAGTAGCTTATTTAAGATCCATGTTTCAACACAGCAGAAGGTTAGTCATCTCAGGAGACATCCTGGCCCCACCATGTGCAGCAGCAAAACTTCCATGGACTCTAACAGAGCCAAGAAGTGGGATCAGCAGATTGTTCAGATGAGGAATTGGGTAAAACACAAACCTCAGCAACATTTATTTCTCTTCTGCTTCCTTTCTGCTATATTTTGAAGCACACCTTGTACCTGTCCACTATGATTTAAGGAGCCCCTTTGTCCATCTTGAGTCCAGGACCTGTAACTTTGCCTTAGTATGTGTTATGAAACGTAGTTTCTCCGTAGTAGAAGACAAACAAAGATGAACAGAATGCCAGAGGAGAGGAGGCTTGTTTCAGTAATGCAAGGAATAAGTGGATAATCCAAATCGGGATGACAGGTCACGCTCTCACAGACTCTCCAAACGGGAGTTTCTCCAGCATAGTCATTCTGCCAGCCATTTCACAAGAGAGACTCTCAGGACTTGCTCAAGCCTCCACACCTTATTTCTCAAAATATCCATTTGTGAAGACAGCCGTAACCATCTCCAGCCATTTTAATCGTCCAGAAGATCACAGCTGAGCACCTTTTCCTGAAAGAAATAAACATTCCAGAAGATTAATCCTTGCACCTTTTTAGTTCGCAGTTTGCCATCGCTACCTTGCAACTGGCAGGAAATGGCTGACTCCTTGGCAGGCCAAATTTAAACCAGTCAAGGATGTTGCTTAAGTAGGACTTTGGAACTGGGTAGGGCTTTTATTGACTTTGTAATGTTAGGGAATGTTTTTAGTTACAAAAAACATCAGAGATCCTTGTAGAAGAAAAGGTGCAGATAGGGCTGTATCTTTTATTTAAATGTCAATCCACTTCCAGCTATTCCCAAAAGAAGCTGGAGATAAGGACACCAAATGCAGTGTAACATAGGTTTGATGGGACTGGATTTTTGTTGAAAATTGACTGATAAAATTGAGTTTTATTCAGGTCGCCAAAAATAGTCAGTTCCGCTGGTCAAGTTCATCTTTTTCTTCTGCCCCTCTTCCCATCCCTCAGACCTCTTCACCTTCATCTCCGTCTCCAGAAGTCTGCTTGCACTCTCTGTTTCCCTGAATGTGAGTGCTGTCTCCATCCCTGCATGAAATTTTGCCATTCCAGCCTTTCTTTTAAGGCCTTCCATTTCCCAGGTCCGTGGCAGGTTAGGAAGGCTTGGAATGGTTAAAAAGTGTCTACAAGAGTCTTGGTGCAGAGGTCAACCTGAAGAAAGGCATGCAAGTCAAGATTTTGGATTTCTAGGAGAAGTTAACCAGTAACACAGTTTCCTGGTCTCCCCTTTTGGCTTACACAACTGTTTGATTTATATTGCATCACGTGTCATGAGTATAAGTAAAATATATCTTCTTTCCAAGAGATAGATATCTATGCTGTGGAGTAGTTTCTTCTAAACTTAAAGAAATGATTGCTTGAATATATGTCAGAAGTGATGTTGATGGAGTAACTTCTGTTCCCAGGTTAAAATCTTTGCCTCTCTTACCAGTCCTGTTACTTAGTTCCATTATTTTTACGAAATATCACAGGCTCGTTTAATATATATGGCTGTTTCATGACGCGAATGGCCATGGTTTTGTAATCTCGATAATTGACCTGCATTAAAGTTACGTCTAATTCACTGTATAAGGCCACATATAACTGCGCTTTTTCGAACCTCCCTTCTGCTTTTTCTGTGAGTGAACTCTGCTTGCTATGTTCATGAGAGTACGCCTGTTGGCTTTATATGGCTTTTTGCTAAAGAAAAGCGGGCATGACTAGTCTCTGCATCTTTGATGCTATTGAGAGCACTGAGTAATAGTTGCGCAGTTCTCTGCAATTACAGTCGGAGAAACTTCACCAAAATGAGTAGTTGTGCATCCAGGTGAAAACAAGTCTAAGGAACTGAGACTAGAAGCTAACATGTTGAAGTCCACACAAACTACTTTCTTTCTTCCCCCTTTTTTTTTTCCAGAAAATAATTTTATGAGGCATAAGAGACCTAGCAGAATCCCACTAAAAAAAGGCAAAATTTCCACTAATATTCTAAAAAGCCAAGATTTTTTCCCCCATCTTTGGTCCCAGGAGATATTGTTTGGCTATTTTCTATGGAACATGGACAGATTTTTTTAGCAGACCAAATTGGTATTTCCTAAGTTATTTGCAGGTAGTTATGCTTTTTATCTAGATGGTTGATTTTACCAGAGAGAAAATATTTCAGGACAACATTGCGAGCAAGTCAATCCACCTTGGAGCTCCCAGAAGTGTGTGGTGAGTGTGAGCAGTATGGTGAGATGAAATATCTAACACAAGCACCTCACTGTAGGTGACTCTCCTGGCAGGTATTGGGGGAGAAGGCATCTTAGCCCTCTGTCCTTTACGTTCTCCTTTGTATGACTTAATGTCACAAAGGCATTAGGAAAGGAAGAGTCCAAGGACCATGACTGCACTGAGCCATTGCGGTTCCATCTCCCCTGCTCCATGGCAAATGAAGGGACAACCTGAGTCTTGCTCTGTGATGTGGTCTTCATGCATGTACGGGTGTGAATGCCCCTCGCTTTGCATGCCCCCCCCAAATGCTCCCAAGCAGGGTATTAGGATAAGATCTAGCCAATTCTTTATTAGAGGAGGGGCAGCATGGGCTAAAAGCGTTAAGTGACTTTGCTCTAAGTAACCACGGTCCCAAAAATCAGCTGCTTAGAAATTGCTGTAAAATATCCATAATCTAGGGACAACCTATAATACAGTGGTAAAGCCTAGTAAAATACATTTACAGCCAAAATACAGCATCTTGGTTGCCAACTTCATTGTACAATAGTGATAAGAAGCAATCAGCTGTTTTCATTTCATCAGCCTGTATTTCCCTTGGTCTTCCACTTACCTGCTGCCTGTTACCTAGAAAGAGGCTTTTATGGAGCTCCATGCCCAACTTGGAAAGACCAGGCAATTGCAGTAGGTATCTACAAACCGTATTGCAAGGAGGGGAGCTGAGTGATGCTCTTGAAGTGCTCTGAGGCACCAGGCTCTAACACTCTTTGTAGGCAGATGATTTTTAGGGATTATTCAATAGAAGTTGAATTCTGGACCGCTCTGAGCTATTTGATGAATTTGTGAAGAATAAAAGCTGTTTCATCAGTGATGCAGGGAGTGTGGTCTTTGTGGGGGACTCTGGCTTGGATTGCATCCCTGTACAAGCTGGTGCAAATGCATAGGAGTCCCTTTTGTCAGACCCTTCGTAGGAGGCAGAGAATTAGCAGGGACCCATCCATCCTGCGGCATCACCTGGTACCGCGGGTGAGCTGACACAGATGTGATGCCCATTTGTGGCTGGTGACTGTAGCACGGCATCATGACTTCTCTCCTGCTTTCCCCCAACACACCGGTTGCACAAGAGGTGGGGAGAAGCAGTCCGTTGCAGGGCTGAGTAATGTGTGTCACAGCCCCTCGGGGTGGGCCTGCATGGCTTGAGGAGGAGATGGGCGAGAAGGCCCTTGGCCACTGCGTCCTATCAGAGTCGCACCCTTGGCTCTTCCCACCTCCAAAGTGACTGGAGCCTCAGGTTGGCACGCCAGCGAAATGGACAGGGTGGGTTTTTTGTTTGGTGGTGGGCACATCAACCAGTCTAGCCACCTCCTGCTGACAGAGAGCTACTGGGCAATAGTGGAAGTTACAGAAGCGATGACTTTTTAGAAAAGATTTTGATCGGAGTTTTTCCATGTAATTTCCATGTAAGTACATTGTGAATCTGGTTACCATAAGGCTACTACAGAACCCTCTGGGAAACCAGGGTATTTTTAATAGCTGCCACATTGGTGAAACTTATCAGGTAGGATCCTGCAAAAATCCGGTTTTGGACCTGACAAATATTCAGTATATTAATGAAGGACTTGAATGACAGAATAGGGTATATACCACCCTACGTATAAAACCCACAAACAGACCAAAGTGGGAGGAATGGTGAGCACTTTGGAGGACAGGAATCAAGTCAAAAATGGTCATGAACAACTGGGAAAAGGATCAGAAATTAAAAATATTCATTTCAGTGATGGGAGGTGCGAAGGATTGTATCCAAAAAGGAGAGATCAAGTGCCGGAGCACACGATGAAGAGCAACCGATTGCAGAGCACATCCACAGGAGAGAGCTTTCACCTCCGCTCTTTTTGCAGCAAGGCTCAGGTGTGCGCTCACTCCCCTGCTGAGCACGTACTGATTTAAATGGCTGCAAAAATCCCCTCAATCCACTGTGTACTAAAACTGAATAGGAGTCAAGAGCATGGCACTGCTAAAAAGAAATTCAAATCTCCTCTATTGAAAGGAGTGTTTAAGGCAAGAAATGAGAAGTATTATTCCTCATCTATTTCACTATGTGAAGTTCTGAGCCCCATCCTAAGCATTTACTTATATACAGGCAATATAAAAGTAAAGAAGAATAATTTAAATAAAAGGCATCAGCATAGCAGTTTTTTAGAATACACAACTGAGATGGTTGGAGTGTTTTGGATTTTGCTTTGGACCGAAGAGGAGCCCGAGGGCCTTCCTAGAGCTGCGCTTTTATGCTTCTATGGTAAAACCATCAAGAAAACCATGCAGGGCATTGAGGGGAGTAAAAAGATTAAGTATGGTTAATATTTTGATATACAATAATGAACTTCAGTGAGATCTCAACCCACGAGTATTAGCCTGCCCTCACAATCTCAGTAAATAGGCATAACTAATGTTTTACAGCTCACAAAACAGAAACGTTGGTCCAGATACCTTCCATACTAAGGCAAAGGTCAGCAATATCCATTACTTGTCAGAACAATCAGCACAGCCTTCAAATGCAGGATTTCATACTAGGAAAACCAAGAGCTGAGACTGAAATTTGGGAGTTGCTGGTTCCCTTTCCCATGCCTAATACAGCAGAACTGTTTTCTTTGGTCATCAAACACTTCTCTTTAGATGGTTTTAAAATATGTTGATCAATGGAAATTTAGTTAAACAACTGAAATATAGAAGTTCTAGAAGGGACTTGGAATATTGGTCATGTTGGTGCTGGTTTTAGTTAATATAATTCTATACAAATAAGTGGTGCTTAGTTTTTGCTTTGTTTTGGTTGTCCTAATTTCAAATAGTTTATCATTTTCACTGGTTAAAAGATAAGTCAGCTCCTTTTGCAAGTTGAGCATTATCATCCTGCCTCCTTATTTTTCTCTGCAATGAAAGAGTGGAAAAAAACAGAAAGAAAATGGGAAAATTGGGAAAAAGCTTTTATTAACTGTTTTTCCCTATGCGCGTTTGCACTTGATGTGGTTTAGTTCTTAATTTGTAACAGTAAGACCCTTGAAAAGGAGATAAAGACTTTTCCAGAAGATAATCCAGGGTTAGATCACTGGTTCCATATCTGGGAAAAAGTCTAAATTTTTGTTTTTGTTAAATATATAACAGTTCTTTGGGAACTAGTGGGTGGTCAGCACTTGAAGTTCCAAAAACCCATATACACAAGAAAAAATAAACTTTGTGTGTCTTTGTTGGCAATGGGGTTTGCCTTATTGCATGTTTTTTAAAGAGAGCAGTGGGGTATTGGCCCTGTAAATTTAAAAAAAAAAAAAAGAAAAAGGGGTTTGCATGAAAAATTCCTGAGCCTCAACGCTCTTTCTTATCTTATGTGTATTTTTTGTAATTTCCTAAATCATGATGACTACCATCATCCTTTTATTCCATTATAGTTGCATCCCATTCATCGATCTTTTTCTGAACTGTCAAGAGAAGTTCTTGCAGAGTGATTCAAAATGCCGTGTTCCCAAAGACTACTCACTATCTCAGAAGGATTTTTAGTCAGAACAATTAGAACAGACTGGTAGAATTAGGCCTACAGCCGTTTTTCAGGATTAGCTATAATTTTTCAGTAAACGTATTATTTTAGTGTGCACAGGATGAATGGCCAACAAATCTGATTTGTGAACTTCTGTTTCAGATTATTAGGAAAGCTCTAACAGAGGAAAAACAAGTGTCCACAAAGACATCTGCAGCAGATCTCGTGACAGAAACTGATCATTTTGTGGAGAATTTAATTATTTCTGTTCTGAAAGAGAAATTTCCCTCCCACAGGTGAGTGCCTATAGAAAGAAACTATCAGTGACCTTTTTTCCTTTAAGAGCTGTATATCTGACTCGCATGTAAAGGTCTTTTTAGAAGTCTATATATCTCTCTTACATATTAACCTGTTGCTGTTGGACACTTTCATAGGACGCCTTTTTAAAAAAGCACCACTTCCCTATAATTAGTATTTTGTATTTTCTAATAGTTATGGGTTTTAATATATGCATTTAATAGTAATGTTTCCCCTATAGGGACATCATGTATGAAGGTTTCATATGACTCTCCATGATTTTCAGAATACTGATCTGTTCTCTATTGTATAAGAATTATGCTAAGGATATCTATTAAAATATAGCTGAAATTAATGATAGCAACGGTCCCGTCCTGCAGACCTTGCCTTCACTTCCTTTTGCCATCACACATAAGCATTTGCCAGATCGTGACAAGTATCACATTTAATGACATTTACCTTGTGTTGTGTAGAATCCTAAAATCGGTGAGAAGCAGGGTTGTTTATCATTGTCTGATGCATAGACATAAACAGGATATGAATTGCTATATGGAGTGTCAATCCAAAGTTTTAAAAATAGCTCAGATTGTTGACTCCCCTTGAATCCTTATGGTCAATTTGAAAATAACAACTCCTAGCACATGGACAGATTAGAGAGAGGCTTTGTATTAGTTCGCCAGGTTTGGTTTGATTCAGAGACTCTGCAATCGATTTCCACATTTGACTTCAGTCCACAAAGATAAAATTCATCTCCCTGCAGAGCCAGTGCAGAGCCTGTGTATCCCTTAAATACTGTATGACTTCCTCCTAACTGTGTGCATCTCTGACAGAGATGAGCCTTGCACTCTAACACTACACAGAAATCAACAAAGATGAAAATCTGGAGGGGTCAGCTACTAATCTGATTGTCAGCAATGCTGCTGAAAAAAAAAACCACCATAAGAAGGAGTAGAAAGAACATTATATACTACATATGGCTTTCTAGATACGTGTTGTATGTGATCGCATATTGAAGTAGTACTGTACAGCATAATGTGTGGTTCTTGGCCGCAATTCTCAAGAGAATGCCAGGCTTTACAAGCCTATTATTTGTGTAATATTCCTTCTACTATTGCTGGCTCTGCCCTTTCCTCATCTCCGCTCTTATGTTGTTTTATTTTTCCTTGAACAGTCTGGCAAAGAACATAAAACACATTTCACATAAAATGAGAATAATCAGAAGCACTTGAGTTACTCAGAATGGGAAGAAAAGTTGTAAGGACAACATGCACCTAGGAACTGAAAAATCTCTGACTTTGTTAACTCTGTACAGTTAACTTCTGACTTTGTAAGCAAATGAAGGAATTGCCATTTCTTCAGGACAGTTATTTTTTGCTGATATTGATTGTTGGTTTTGGTCGGAGTTCGTTCAGTGAATGCATTTAGATTAAACAATAGATTAAAACTAGATTTAACTAGACTAGATTAAAACACTTGCAATGAAGAGTCCACAGTAGCAATCAAGGTTTAAATTAAAGTGCAATGAAAACATTAAAAGATCATTTAACTTGTGTTCAGTCTTTCCCCTAATCTAGCTGTTGAAAGCATCACTGAAAATTTCTGTTATTTCTTTTTCTCTTAAATCATCTTGATTCTTATGTTCTCTGAATCAAAAAATGTACCTTAGGAGTTTAAAAAATTAAAAGGGATGTCATTAGAATCTGTGCCATTTGCATTGTGGCAGTGATGAGTCTCGCGATACTGGAAATGTACTCAGAAGTAAAGAGAAATATTAGGAAAACCCGTTAAAAAGGTAATTCTGTCCCATGTTTCTTTCTTCTCTGCTTGGCTAAGTGATATGTATCATCCTCATTCGTGCTTCACCCAAGTTCTCATCTTTGCCCACTCTTTGGTATTCTGACATGCTCCAAGTGAGTCTTTTCAAAGGATGTTTTTTCTGGTAGATCTTTGAGTTGTGGGTAGGCACAGCCAGAATATCAGGGGCTACTGGTTGAAAAAGGCTATCGTACCGTTTGCCTAGGTTATTGGTACAGAAGTTGTCATCTTTGGTGTTAATTGTGGCCTTAATCCTGTAGACATTAAAATCAAGACACAGCCATTACGGAGGGTGACATTCAACTCTAGCTGCCCGGCTTTCTGCCCTCAGACCCCCAAAAGGGGATAGGTGAGGGATAGCCCTGGTATGAACCTCCTGCACTCAACTGGCTGTCACTCCTGCTGCAGCTTCTGCTGTGCTACAGTTTCCCTGCTGTTCCAGCAATGAATTTCAGAGTGGCACCGTGGTATGAACAGATGTCAACGAAGGCTAGGCTGAAATTACTGGACTCATTTTCAGTAGGAGAAAACTTTAATCCAGATTTGAAGGGAAGTCAACACAGCTGGCAGGCTGGCATATTAAATTAACTACTGTGATAACATGGCTACCCCTCCCACTTCTCAAGCTGTTCCTAAAACTTGGTCTCCAGTACTTCAGGCTGAATGTTTTGCTGAGTTTGCATGTTTTTACAGGACAGAGAGCCATAGAGAAACCCATCTGATGTCAGCCTTGTGGGCCTCTCACAGTACCCAGTACTGCATAACAGCAAGGGGCTTATTTTAACCTATTAGCCCAAATGTCATGAAACGTGCATCTAATTGGTCCTACATCCGTTTTGGAAAAATTGTTCTTGGACATCAAGACTTCATCAATGGCACTATTGTGCCCCGGCTTCACGTTAGCGTTTCTGTATGTGAGGACTGCAGCGTTGCACCCTGCTGTAAGGAAAAGGCGAGGAAAAGATTTAGGATACTTGAGGGCAAAACGCCTTACACAGAAATACTCTTGTCTTTAAAGAGGTTCCCATTTCACCTTTCTTTGACTGGCAAGACAACGGCTACAGTCCAGGCTCTGGCTGGGGGAGCTGGCGGAGGGTTGAAGCAGAGGCATAATTTATGGGGAAGGTGTACAATCTGAGATGGGATGTAAGGTGCTCCATCTGCAAGAAGACGAGCTTCCTCTGCAGCCAGCAGCGCAGCCAAAGCGTATGGTTGGGTTTAGGTGCTAATTACAAGATTTGTAAAAGCAAAAGTCAAATGATACAACACCAACAAGACAAAATAATGAAATATTTAGGGCAAGGAGTCTGCAAAGTGTTATGTTTGACTGAGAATTCCAAACACTTGTTCAAGTCTTTCTCATTTCTCAGTAGCACACTAACACTTCGTCCTTCAGCTGTTATCTTTAATGGAGATGAAAATAGTAACAAACACTTCCCACTTTCCTCTTCATACCAACTGGGGGCCCATAATGCCATCAAAATAGTCCCTTTCTACTCAGGGAAAGGCTAAGTAGCATTTGGAAAATTCAAGTCTCCTCCAGTGCTGTCTGCAGAACATTTTAAACTCATGGTTGCAAGCGTTAATGTGGCATCACGCAGCGTGTGTTGAGGGCACAAAAGAAAATAGCTGCTACTCTAGTCCTGGGGAAGCAACTGTTTCTGGAAAAGACATTTTCTCTTTATTGTATCCTTTTTTTTCTCTTTGTGTCTTTGAGAGAGCTTTTTCGTCTTCAGGCATTTGCAGGAGCTCTGAATACCACTACCAGTTGTTGGAATGTGAAACCAAAAGCAAGATTCAGTACTAGAAGTCTGATTCTACACCTTCTGTACATACAGGACTTTATTCAAATCTGTGAGAGTAGCACCTGCACAACACTTACAGAAGTAGACCCTGCACAGTTTATGGGAGAGCAGGGATAATTAAGGTCGGCAGGAAATGTGCCAGAACTGGATGTTCATTTCCCAGGGAAAAAGGAGGGGGAAAAAAAAAAGCATATCTGCTAAAAGAAATTGGGACAGAACAACAGAAGAGAAGATGAGCTCAGATTTCAATGTGTGCCTTGTGCATCCAAACAACAAACAAAAAAATTAATTTGTTGATTTTCTCTGGGTCATGGGAAAAAGAAAGTTCAGCTTTGTAAACCTTTTAATTTCCTGAGTCAGACTACTGTAAAAAATTCAAGTAGGAGTGAGATTGTGGGTTTTCTAAGAGTG